TGGGATGGGAAACCAAAAAATAAAGGCATTGACAACTAAGTCTAGCCTTCAGTGGTTTTACTGGATTATTCTATTTGCCTATCCAAATCCACTCTCTATCTTTGTCCACCCTGCAATTCCCTGGGGAAGCTGAACCCAAACCACACTGCTGGGCTCCCTTGACCACTGACTACCAACTGCACGTGGCCAATGTTGTGCATCAGGAGGAGATTAGAAGGAGGGAAGTGAGTGAGGTTGTGGCATTTATTACTATTGCCATGGGGTTTCCATGGGCCAGTTTTGTTGAAAGCCGGGAGTCCTGTGTTTCTTCCGCATAGCCCCCGCAGTCTTCTGCCTCTCTTTCCCCTCTCTGCACTGTTTCAGGCCTACAATAGCACCCAGATTTCATAGTCCTCTGGCATTGGACTATTCTTGGTAGTTTCCCTAAGCCCTGCTCCCAGCTTTGTAAATAGTCCTTTATTAAATTCATCTCACATTATCCACATGTAAGTGTGCCATCTGTTTCTTGCTGGGACCTTGACTGACACAACAAGGTCCTGGGGGAGATATGACAAGAACATCAATAAACGGGAGACGGAAGGAGGAATCCCCTTGGACATGTGAATGAATATATACGGCCACTCACCGGGAAAGGAGGCCATGAGAAAAAGTCAAAGCCAAACACCTTGGGACTGTTTGCCTTTATGCCCAGGAAGCTGGAACAGAGCAGGGGGCTGGTTGAAGGTACCTGAGAATCCACCCCTGAAGGATTAGCAGATTTGGAGGGTAAGGAAAGATTTCTTTCTACCTGAGGAGTGCCTAGGAGACAGTGACTCTGAGTTTTCTTGGGGTAGACAGCAATGAAGGCTTAATGAGCAGACCCCCCAGGCTGGTCTCCTCTCTGCTTGCCACTGTGGGACCTCGAGGCAAAGGGAAGAGCAGGCTGATGCACTTCGAGTGCTACAGAGAAACGGAAACAAGACTGTTTCCTGAGTTGCAGAATATGTCAAAAAATAAGAGGACAAAACCACACTCTGCCAAGTCACCTTAAAGACACGAAATGGGTTCTAGGCCTATAAAAGTGCCTGCAGCTTAGCATAGCTAGAGGTTATCTAGATGTTTCCAGTCTTGAGAACTTTCACCTAAGGAAGAAGCACACATCAGACTCTTCCAACAGCGTTCGAATCACACCACTCACATCCGTCTTTTCAGTTCTGTCCTCCTCAAAACTCCTTAGAGATATTATTTGTTTCCTTATGTGGTTTTCCTACATGAAAGAAAAACCATATGTATGCTGATCAGGTTTAAGGTACCTAACAAGTAGAATTCATGCTGAAAATCAATACTTTGGCATCTGCAGTCTCCTATAAGCATTGTTAGTGTGAGTCAGCCTCCCCAAGTCCAGGAAGCTTGAATACTTTGAAAATCTAAACCCACAAAGCCAAAGTCAAACCCCTGGCTTGGGTGAAGTCATGAGTATCAGTGCTGCCTGGAGGCTCCTTGGGAGCCCACCATCCACCAGCCCGGGACACACACAGATGCACTGGTACTTCGATGAGCTCTGCTGCCCACTAAAGTGCTGAGTTGTTAGAACAGCCATTGTACCAGGTCTCTCTCATCCCTTTCTTGAACAATGAATTGCTCTTCCAAACTTCAGGATATTACCTTAATACATCTTTTTTTTTCTTTGATTTTTATTTTTATTTTTTGATTGACACAGATCTTATATATATTTATTGTGTGCAGCATTTTGTTTGAAATAAGCAGGCTTTCTGAAATGGCTAAATAGTGCTTATTAATATATGCATTAACTCACATACTTATCATTTTGGGGGGTGAGATACCTTGATCTGTTTTCAGTTTCATAGCCTGGAATTGGCTCATTGTTCTTCTTGACTGATTCTGCCTGTCACTATATCTACCACCTCTGTCAGATTAGAGTAATTCACAAATTTGATAAGCAGGCATGACCTAAGTGACTGATAAAAATGTTAAATATACAACCTGAGGATTCTTCAATCCCATCCTGGCTCCTCTCCTTTTAAAACTTTGGTCTGTCCTTTTCATTTTAAAATATAGAGCCCAGAACTGCAGGCACCGACCATGACAGGTGTGGTCTAGCCTGTGCATAGCAAAGCATGCCTCTCACCTCATTGAAATTCTCTGCTTCTGCAGGCTGAGATCAAAATAACTCCCTTACACATTATGGCTGATATTACTGGAGTACTTCCGTCATTTTTATCCTAAAGATACTAATTCACATCAGTGCATCCTGTTAGTTTTCTTTTGGACTCGGGTGTAACATGTTCTGTTCCTGTTCAGTTTTGCCTCTTTATGCTTAGACTGTTGCTGCAGCCTGTTAAGATCTATTAGGATCCTGTATAGACCAGACACAAACTCTCATCACTCGACTTGTGTCTAACTCTCTAGTACCATCCCGTCCCCACTTCTGTCTGTACACTTCACTTCCAGCAATAGTAACTGCTTCGGGGCCTCCCCCATGTCTTCTATACTGTGTGTAGGATACAATCTCTCCCAAACAGAAAAAGTCTCAGACAAACACAAAGATCCACATCCCAGACTCTGACCCGTTCCACTCCATGCAACAGAAGGTAAAAGGATATGGGAGATCTCTGAGTCATGTGACCAGGAGACTAGGGTCTAGTCCTGTCTTCACCCTTAAAAGGCTCTTGTCTGCCCTGTGAGCAGGCATAGGGTACAGCAGTCTGAGGATACACCAGGGATCTTTCTGTCTGCCCCACTCTCGCTGGAGCAGAGGCTGCTCTTGCTTCCCAATGTCCATTCTCTTCTGCTCCCAAGAACAGACCCCAGTATTTAAAACAGCACATATAAACCCCTGAAATGATGGCATTGCCAGCTGCTTTATAGCCAGGAATGGTCATGAGATAAAGTTTCAGCCAATGAAATGGGAAAAGTCATGGTGACTGACTTTCAGGAAGGTCTTAAAGGGGAGGGAATAAATGATGTTTGTCCTCTTCCACTTGTGCCTGCTGTCTGCCTGGAATGTGAATGTGATGACAGGCTTTCCAGCAGACATCATAGGACCATGCAGTAAACTTGAGGTTAGAAACTGGTCTGATGATTCTGGAGGAGAAAGATTGAAGCATCTTTCAATCTTTATGGAAACACCATACCGGGCCTAGACTGCCTTTACGCCAACTTCCTTTATGGGAGAAGGGAAATAAGCCTTTACAGATTTAACACACCTTTCAGAAGTCACTTTGTTCTATATTCAGTGATGTTCAGTGATGTTATCCTTAGCTGCTTAACTCTGGAAAAGCCTCCTATTCTCTAACCCTATTTATTCAACTGCAAAATGAAACTAACGATATAATAGGAAGGGGAAAAAGATCATATGTCAAGCATTGACAAGACATTAGGAATATGAAGGCAAAAAGATAAAGGCAATTCCGTCTGCAGATTTTATTTGATCTCATTGCTCACTCACTATTTCTTTCTTTCTTTCAACAAGTATTTATAAAGTCTCAACAGAGATGGCAGTTCTGAAGGGACTAGGGTTGCCATACTTAGCAAATAAAAATACAGGGACAACAAATTTTTTTTTTTTTTTTTTTAGCATAAGTATGCCCTGTGCAATATTTTTATATTAAAAAGGTAATTATTGTTTATCTGATATTCAAGTTCAACTGGTTGTCCTGTATTTTATCTAATGACCCTATCTGGGGCTACCATGGTGAATAACACTGAAAAGAGCCCATCCTGCAAGGAGCTGTCTTCCAGTGGAGGGGATGGTGAACAAACCATGAAGCTCAATGTCAGAATTGAATGTAGGGATAAGTGGCGTGAAGGAAATAAAGCCATTACAGTGTGACAGGAAGGTGACTCTTCAAGGTTGTCAGGGAAGTCCCATGAGGAGGTAACATTTCCCCAGATGCCTGGACATTGAAATGGAACTAGCCAAGCCAGGGGAGGACCAGTCCAGCCTGAGGGGCCAACAACAGCAAAGGCCCTCAGGTGGGAACATGTTTGGAATGTTCTAGAATCCCAAGGCCAGTGGGGTTAATGCTAAGTGGGGAGAGGTGTGCTAGAGCCCGATCAGGTAAGGCCTGTAGGTGATTTAAAAAAAAAAAAAAAAAAAGTCCATGGATTCTATTTTAAGGGTAATTAGCAGTCATCAGAGGGTTAAGAAGGAAGAATATCATTCAATTTCTTTGTTATTGTTCATTTTTTAAAGAACGTCTTGATTGCTTGGTGGGGATGAGACAGGGTTAGAGAGGTAAAGGCAGCTGCAGGAGAATGAGTAAGGGGGCTTTTCAACAGCACAGCTGAACTGACAGAGGCTTCAGCTGGAGAGCTGCAGAAGACCTGGTGAGAAGGATCCCATGCGCTATGCATTTGGGAGTAGGGCAGACAGGACCAGTGAAGAGATTCACTGTGGAGGCTGCAGGAGAGAAGCGAATCAAACACGATGTGTAGGGCTGAGTCCTGAGTAACTGAGTAAAAGGTTCTCATTTACTGAGATGGAGACACTGTTTCTAGCACAGGTTTGTGGACAGCATGGGACAGAATATTAAGGAGCTTGTCTTGGCCAGATTTCTTAGATTAGATAGTCAAATGCAGATGTGAACAATTCAAAGTTGCTTTTATTATCCCCAATTTACAGAAGAGGAGACTGAGGTCCAGCAGGTTAGAAAAGCGGGACTCATAACAAAACCTGTCCAGACCCAGTTTGCTTCCCCAGACCACACTATTATAAACCTCCCTGCTGCAGAGGTGAAACAAGCACCAAATGAGATCATAGACTTTTAAACTATAATGATTATTAATGTGGGACAGTGTCTGGAGAGAGGTAGGGCATGGAACCTACAGGATCTAGGGAGCAGGTAAAATGTGCTCAGTTCTGCCTTGGAGCTGAGTCTTCCTCACGCCAGAGTCAGTTACATTTCCCCAGACAAGCTGTTCCACAGCTGGACTTCACGCCATCCCCTCTGAATCATTTAAATTGCCTTTGCTAAATAATTTACCTCCAGGTAGACAAAATGGGTCCACAGGCTCCCCAGACATTGTGGGACTGGTGCATAATTTACAGAGCACTGCTCAGCCGCCCTGTGCAGGGAGAACAACAGGGCTTGGACACCTGCCAGAGTCGAGGAGGGCACCAACTGGAAAGGAGGCAAAAAACAGCTCCATCAAAAAGAGGCAAAGGCACCTACTGATACCTGGATTCTCAAGGCCAAAAGCAAGGCAGGAAAATGTGAGGGTCAAACTGCCTCAGGGCATAGGTTGAAGCCCGTGAGGGAGGAGCAGGTAGCTAGCATGTGTGCTGGAAGTCTGAGGAAAATATCATCAATGCTACACTCTTCCTGATTGCCAATATCCTGAGGCCTAATTAATTGTGTCCTTTAAAAAACAGCATTGCCTCTGGTAAGAAGCATGTTTAGTAAATACTTAAGCATTTTAACACAGGCCAGATGGATGTGGAATTCAGAGAGGAAGGGCAATTTTCTGTGCCTGGAATGCCTTCCTCCACACCCCTTATGCAGTCGACAAATTCCTGCTCCTTTTTCTACAGCTGTCCTCAAGGGTGACCTCCTCCAGGAAGCCTGCCTCACTCCCAGAGGCAGACCAAGGTTTCCTTCTCATGGTGAACTATGTTTTATGTCTCATTTCATTGTATAATAAATGTTTTTCTTCCCTGGACTCTGGGGTCCTTGGTAACAGAGTTTCTTTAAATCTGTAGTCACAGTACATGATTCAGTGGTAGCACATTCTATATTCATTGTAGAATGAAAGATGAAACAAACAAGACATGCACCATAACTTACAAGATATTTTCCCCAGAATTGCATGTAGTATTGTTGTTTTAAGCATAAAAATTCATATCCCAAGAGTATGGCAAAATGTATATAAAAAAAGCAAACATACCAGAAGTTACTCAGCATCTTCAAGAATCATTCTGCCCCTTGCTCCATGTCTTAGCCCATTTTCTGTTGCTGTAACAGAATATCACAGATTAGGTAATTTCTAAAGAAAGGAATTTTATTCATCTCACAGTTCTGGAGGCTGGGAGTTCCAAGAGCATGATGCTGGCATCTGGTGAGAGCCTTCTTGCTGTGTTATAACATGGCAGAGGGTATCACATGATGAGAGGGCAAGAGCACACATGCCAGCTCAGGTCTCTCTTCCTCTCTTATGAAGCTGTTGTTCTCATAGCAGAAGCTCCATCCTGATGACCTTATCTAATCCTAATTACCTTGCAAAGATCCTATCTCCAATTGACATATGGATTTGGGGAATTGAGTTTCCAACACAAGAAATTTGGGAAACATATTTAAACGATAGTGCTGCACTTGGATTACTACTTCCCATTTCTAACAACCTGTCAGCTTCAGCTCTTTGCGTATGGCATCTAAGTCATTTTACAATGCCTGACTCTTAATAGGGTGATTGGGTTCTTGAATCAGACAGATATATTTTTATTGGAAGTTTCCAGCCTTGCCACTTAGAAGCTGTGTGGCCTCAGTTTAGTACTTTAACCTCTCTGATCTTCGGCTTCCTTACTTATAAAACAGGCACAGTAGAAGCATAGAGATATTAATAATGCCTACCCCATTGTAATGTTGTGAATATTAAATGAAATTAGTGTATATAAATATCTTAGTGCAGTGCCTAGAACTTAGTGAGCATTGAATGAATGTTAGCTATTACTACTGTTTTCACTTTTCTCCAAGATGTATTGTCCATTCTGTCACTGCATCTGCTTTCTATATTCTCTACCAGTACACACACCTTCAGTTCAGCCCTGGATTTACTGCCATGTATCCAATACCCCATGATCAGATCCAGAATACATTTGGCAACCACAGGTTCTCTTCTTGTGATTATAAAAAATTTCCTCTTCCTGGATGCTTCTCAAGATCAAGAGTAAAGATCTGAGCTATCTTAAGCTATGTTTGGGTTGTCAGTCTGTGGTACTTTGAATACAACTCCCCCAAAAGACTGCCTCATATAAAGCCCCAGATTATATTAGGGTTACTTGTGTTTGAGCCTAAAGATACAATGGCAGTTAGAATTTAAATGGCATTTACTATGTGCTTGGTACTTTTTTTTAAGTAATTTATACTTAGTACTCAAAACCTAAGAGGTACCAGTATATCTTCATTTTGCTTATGAGAAATTGAGGCACAGAGAGGTATCATTTGTATGAGGGTGGGGTGTGTCACACTGTGCTCAGGAGGGCTTGCTAGTCGGAACTGTAAACTAAGTTTACATCCTTGGGAGAAGAAAAACTTTGTCACTTCTAAAGGGTCTGATTTTTCCCAGTTTTACGCATCAAGGAAGAGGCAGGTTCTGTTATAGAAAATCAAGCCTTGTAGGCAAGGATTAGATGGGCAGGACCAAGGAATGATCATCATTCTCTGAGCCCACTCTCTTTAGTTAAGATTTTAATGAATCTAAACATACTTAAAAGAAGGTGGGAGAAAACTGGCCCTTGACTCAAGGAAGCTTTTAGACATGGGGCAAGGAAGGGAGATAGGTTGTAGGAAAATTGAGACTACTGTTAGGTACCAGGTATCCATATAATATCAAGTGGTACCTCTAGAGTTAATTCTGTTCTGTTATCTGGGAGCCCTGTTAATCATTCTTTCATGCCTTGATTGTACCATGGGGAATAAAGGAGTGGATTTAGGTTCACCTTGGACACATGTGTGAAAATAAGATCTGCAGTCTCTGAAACCAGCTTTGTCAGATGCAAAGAGAAAGTGTGTCTCAGGGATAAGAAAGAACTCCCTCCTAACCATAGGGAGCTTCTCCATCTATTGCTAGCCAAGGTGGATGAGGATTTGATTTCATTAAATCACCCAGCACTTTTCTTTACCTGCCCAAAGGTGAGTGAGTCCATAGGAAAGTGAAAATGGAGGTCATTTCCAGACAAACCTGGAGGCTTCTGTGAGTCAGACAACGGAGGCCCCAAGAGAAGAAAACTAAATAAGTTAAACTCCCTTCATCTGGAAAATAAACATCAAATGGCATGTGATAGTGTGCACTGCATAAGTGAATAAAGGAGGTTTAATTCTTTAATTATGGACTCTAGTTTCCCCATGGTAACAAAGGGCAAATTGATGAAGAGAAATAATCAGGGCATAAAATACTGTGTCTCATTGGTTTATTTCACTTAATAAAATAATAAAAATATTTCTCCTTAAGTTCCCAGTCTTGCTTAAAAAAAAAGAGACAGTATTTTTATCTAACCTCAGTTCAAAACTGATCCATAAAGATTTACTGAGCACCTACTATGACACTGTGTTCAATACTGGGTTCAATATGATGGTCTCTGCTCAGAAAACACAATCCTGACTTCCCCTTGACACCCCCCAAAACTCACATTCACACACTTTTAAGAAATTTCAGGCCAGGCATGGTGGTTCACACCTGTAATCCCAGCACTTTGGGAGGCCAAGGTGGGTGGAGTACCTGAGGTCAGGAGTTTGAGACCAGCCTGGCCAACGTAGTGAAACACTGTCTCTACTAAAAGTACAAAAATTAGCTGGGCATGGTGGTGCATGCCTGTAATCCCAGCTACTCAGGAGGATGAGGCAGGAGAATTGCTTGAACCCAGGAGGTGGAGGTTGCAGAGAGCCGAAATCGCACCCAGTGCACTTCAGCCTTTCAGCCTGGGTGACAGAGCGAGACTTGGTCTCAAAAAAATAAAACAGAAAGAAATTTTAGATCTCTAGTGGATTCTTAGAAGATATTTTCATTTACAAGATTCACCATCAAGAGTCTATGACTTCACTAATATTCACCTATGTTCCTTTGAAAGATTGTGTCTAGCAATCTTTTGTGTTTATGTTAAGCAAACTATATTTATTAAGAAATAGTTTGTTTCTCCATTTTGTATTTAAAATTTCCAATAGGAATTTCTTTCAAGAAATAACCCATGTGCTTTTACTGAGTTAACAGACTTCCAGCCAAAGTGTCTCCGTTCACTCAATAATCATGTATACAGTAAATACATGCTATGACCCAGGCATTGATTGCCATACTTGGGATACAACAGTGAACAAAATGCTTTAAAAATTCCAGGTCCTTGTGCAACATTAATTCTAGTTTAAACATAAACTCAAAACAAAATTTACCAAGAAAAAGCAAATTACATTGTATATTATGTGATGATTAGTGCTACTGGAAAACGTAGTGCAAGGTAAGAGAGGGAACCATGAGATGTCAGGGGATAGTAGTGATGAATGTGGGGAAGGGAGACCGTAATTTTAAAAAGTGCTGAGCATAGGTGTATTAGTCCATTTCCACACTGCTGATAAAGATGTACCTGAGACTGGGAAGAAAAAAATGTTTAATTGGACTTACAGTTCCACATGGCTAGGGAGCCCTCAGAATCATGGCAGGAAGTAAAAGGCACTTCTTACATGGTGGTGTCAAGAGAAAATGAGGAAGATACAAAAGTGGAAACCCCGATAAAACCATCAGATCTCATGAGACTTACTCACTACCATGAGAACAGTATGGGGGAAACCGCCCCCATGATTCAAATTGTCTCCCACTGGGTCCCTCCCACAACACATGGGAATCAAGGGAATACAAATCAACATGAGATTTGAGTGGGGACACAGAGCCAAACCATATAATTCTGCCCCTGGCCCCTCCAAATCTCATGTGCTCACATTTCAAAACCAATTATGCCTTCCCAACAGTCCCTCAAAGTCTTAACTCATTTCAGCATTAACCCAAAAGTCCATAGTACAAAGTCTCATCTGAGACAAGGCAAGTCCCTTCCACCTACGAGCCTGTAAAATCAAAAGCAAGCTAATTACTTCCTAGATACAATGGGGATACAGGATTTGCATAAATACAGCCATTCCAAATGGGAGAAACTGGCCAAAACCAAGTGGTCACAAGGTCCATTTCAGTCCAAAGTCCAGTGTGGCAGGCAAATTTTAAAGCTCCAAAATTATCTCCTTTGACTCCAGGTCTTACATCCAGGTCACGCTGATGCAAGAGGTGGGTTCCCATGACGGTCTTCGGCAGCTCTGCCCCTGTGGCTTTGCAGGATATAGCCTCCCTCCCAGCTGCTTTCACAGGCTGGCATTGAGTTGTCTGTGGCTTTTCCAGGCAAATGGTGCAAGCTGTCAGTGGATCTACCATTCTGGGATCTGGAAGATGGTGGCCCTCTTCTCACAGCTCCCCTAGGTGGTGCCCCAATAGGGACTCTTTGTGGGGGCTCTGACCCCACACACATTTCCCATCTGCATTGCCCTAGCAGAGGTTCTCCACGAGGACCCTGCCCCTGCAGCAAACTTCTGCCTGGGTATCCAGACATGTCCATACATCTTCTGAAATCTAGGAGGAGGTTCCCAATCCCCACTACTTGACTTCTGTGGACTTGCAGACAGAACACCATGTGGAAGCTGTCAAACCTTGCACCCTTTGAAGCCATGGCCCGAGCTCCATGTTGACATCTGTCAGCCACAGCTGGAGTGAGTGGGACATAGGGCACCAAGTCCCTATGATGCACAGAGCATGGGAACCCTGGGCCAGGCCCATGAAACCATTTTCGCATAGGCCTTCTGGCATGTCATGGGAGGGGCTGCCATGAAGACCTCTGACATGCTCTGGAGACATTTTTCCCATTGTCTAGGAGATTAACATTTGGCTCCTCATTACTTATGCAAATTTCTGCAGCTGGCTTGAATTTCTTCTCAGAAAATCAGTTTTTCTTTTCTATCACATTGTCAGCCTGCAAATTTTCTAAACTTTTATGCTCTGCTTCCTTTATAAAGCTGAATGCTTTTAATAGCACCCAAGTCACCTCTTGAATGCCTTGCTGTTTAGAAATTTCTTCCACCAGATACCCTAAATCATCTCTCTCAAGTTCAAATTTCCACAAATCTCTACATCAGGGGCAAAATGCTGCCAGGGTTTTGCTAAAACATAACAAGAGTCACCTTTGCTCCACTTCCCAACAAATGCCTCA